TCCCTCACGTCCTGTTTCACATCCTCCCTCACACCCTTCTCACAGGTTTCTCATACCCTCCTCACACCCTCCTCTCACTTTCCCTCACACCCTCCGGTCACATTCTCCTCACACCTTCCTCACACCCTCCTCTCACTCTCCCTCACACTCTCCCTCACATCCTCCTTCACACCCTTCTCACAGGACCCTCATACCCTCCCTCACGTCCTCCTCACACCCTCCTGACACTCTCTTTCACATCCTCTTTCACATGCTTCCTCACACCCTTCTCACAGGATCCTCACACCCTCCTCAGATCCTACTTACACCCTCCGCACACGCTCTTCACATTCTGCCTCATATCCTCCCTCACACCCTCCTCACGCTCTCCCTCACACCCTTCTCACACTCTCATCTCCTCACACCCTCCTCACACCCTCCCTCACACCCTCTTTCACATCTTCCCTCACACCCTTCTCACAGGATCCTCACACCCTGCTCACACCCTTCTCACACTCTGCCTCACCCCCTCCTTCACATTCTCCTTACACGCTCCCTCACATCCTCCTCACACCTTCCTCACACTCTCCCTACACCCTACCTCATACCCTCCTCAAACTCTAACTCCCTCCTTACACTCTCCCTCACACCCTCCTCACATCCTTTCACATCCTCCCTCACACTCTTCTCACTGGATCTTCCTACCCTCCTCACATTCTCCTTACACTCTGCCTCACACCCTCCTCCACACCCTCCTCACACCTCACACTCTCTCACACTCTCCGTATACCATCTCTCACACCTTCCCTCACACCCTCTTCACACTATCCCTCCCATCCTTCTCACACCCTCACAACCTCCTCACCCTTCCTCACACCCTCCTCACATTCTCCCTTACACTGTCTCTCACACTACCCCTCACACACCCTTCCTACACACCTCTGGTAATGGGATCCCTCCCCGACCCCAGGCCACCTTCCCAGCCCCTGCAAAGCTCTGGAGGTGGGAATAGCATGGTAGCCAGGATGAGGAACTTCTCTTGTTACTGGAATGTTAGGGATGGCTTCCAGGAGGACCAGTAGTTTTACCCACAACCTGAAGGTCGAATAGTGGAGGATTAGTAAGGAGCATTCCAGCCGAGGGAACAGCATGTGCAAAGGTGCAGAGGCATGGACCATAACTGGTTCCCATTATTGGGGTGTGGAGGTGGGGACATGGGGACAGATGGTGAGGGCCTTGATTGCCCAGCGGGTGGGGGAGGCTCTAGCCTGTGATGGCTTTTCTGCCCTGATGGACTTCATTCATTCCAGGTCACAGGCATTAATTGGCCTGGTGGTTGGCAGGACAAGGGCCTGATAGGGGAAGGTGCTGTGCCTAGACACGATGCCCCATTGTTCTCTGTCCAAGTACCAGCCTAGGGCTTACAGGGCTCAAACCAACCAGGGGTGGCAGATGGGAGAGGGGCCAGCCTGGAGGTGTGGGCATTGCAGAGCTCGGCAGCAGGCACAGAGTCCAGGCCAAGTCAGGGAAGCGGCCGTCAAGGCTTGGAGCCAGGAAGGGGTCCAAGGACAGCCTGGGCTCAGGGGCTGGCTTTGGGGCTCGGGGGCAAGGCTTCAGTGGATCACACATGGAAGGTGAAAGTCAGCAGTTACAGCAAGTGGTCTGGTTCGAGCCCAGGGGCAGGCATCCCAGACCATCACAGCTCACCACACGGGTCCTGAAGCCCTGGGACAGGACTGACCACCCCTCGCTGGCGGTGGAACCCTGCCCGGCGCCCTAGGAGTCGTGGCCTGGTGGGTCTCAGGTGGTGACAGCCGGGCCTGCCTGTCCCTCGGATGTTTCCTCAAAGGCGCTATCTCAGTTTGGGGCTGCTACAACAAAGTACCACTGACTAGGGGCTCAGAACCACCAACGCTCAGTTCAGGAGGCGGAAGTCTGAGGTCAGGGAGCGAGCAGATTCTGTGTCTGCTGAGAACTCGCTTCCTGGATCCTGGACGGCATCTTCTCGCTGTGTCCTCACACGGCAGGAGGGGCCCAGGAGCTACATGGGGTCCTTTCTAAGGGCGAGTATCCCATCATGGGGGCTCCACCCTCAGGACCCAATCACCTCTGAAAGGCCCCACCTCCTACCACCACCACGCTGGGGGTTACAACTTCAACATATGAATCGGGGGGACACAGACTTTCAGAACATGGCGGGTGTCTTCAGCTGAGGTAGAATTTTAACACCCCTCAAACCTGCTTCCCCTCTGGGCGAATCCTGCCCCAGCTGCACCCTTCACACAGTGGCCTTGTCTACCTTCACCCAGGCATGTCTGTCAGAAAGCAGAACGAGCACCGAGAACATCCCTGGGCATCTTCCCAGGAAGAAATTTGCCCCGAGCATCTGGTCCACTCATGATGGGTGGAAGGGCTGCAGACTGCACAGGACATGCCGCTCTGAGCCTCAGGGGTCTGCTGGCCTTGAGAAGCCCTGCTGCCCCCTGAGCTCGGAGGCCAGAGCAGGTGCCAGGACCAGTCCCTGGTCTGGGAAGGCGGCCTCCAGTCCAGCCTCTGCAGCGATGGGAGCAGTTTACATGGGGACCTGTCTGCAAGGGATCTGGAGCGTGGTTCATCTTTCCAGCCCTGGACAGGCCCCTGAGGAGGGCTGGAGAGGACTGGCAGGTTCGCCACGTCCCTCACCCTGGCCTCTGCACAAGGCCGAGAGCGGCTCCGCACGAGCACAGCCATGGGGGGCTCTGTTCAGTCCACCTGGCTTAGGGTGGCACCTGTGTCTTCACCACTGAGCTCTGGCAACTGTGCCGGCTCCACCCAACGGGGGTCTGTCCTGGAGAGAAACATGCATCAGCTGTGACTTCCAGCAAAGTGGTAAATCCATGGAGCAGTTTCCAGCGAGCCGCGCTTTCACTGAGCAGCGCTGTCTGGGGCCAGGGGCCAGGAGCAGTGCCCAGTCGTGTCCCACTGTTACAGACGGGCAAACTGAGGCTCAGAGTGTGGAGACATGCGCCTGGGGCCTGCAGCTCGGGGGTGGAGGAGAGTGGTCAGCCCCGCCATCCTGTGGTGTCCGGACAGGTGGGAGGGCATGAGGCAGGGCTCCCCCTTGCCCTCACTTCTCCGACTGGACACATGAGTGAGTGACCTAGCCCGTGAGCTGGGCATGGGGGCTGGACCCTGTGTTCAGAGCTGATTCCTCTGCCCCCATCTTGTTTCCCTCCCGCGTGCCCCACGAGCCTCAGACCTGGGAGCAGAGCCCTTCCAGGGCCCAATGGCGCCAGCTCATTCCTGGAGTCGGCCTGCTCTGGCACCTCCGGAAACCCCCGTGGAAAATGCAAACTCATGATGACGTGACCCTCGGGTTGAAAAATATGCTTCTGTTTCCCCAAAAAGAGGCTAAAGGGAAGGAGTTGACAGAGGGAGGCGATGTGGAGAGGGACCCATCGGGGGCCAGTCCCTCGTGTGTGTGCATGTGTGTACACGTGTGCACGTGTGTGAGTGCGTGTGTGAGCACAGGCGCCCATGGGAAGGGCAGGTGGAACCCCACTCTCGGCGGCCGGATGGTCCTGGGCTCTGAGCCTCAGCTTCTTCTCTGTCATAAGGTGGTGACAGAGTCCCAAAGAGAGGACGGTGCCGCGTGGTCGTAGCCTGCAGGAGGGCCGTGGGCATCCATGGCCCAGCGCCAGGACTGGCCGGCTCACAGGGCCCCCAGGGGTCTGACCGTGGGCGTCAAGGTCAGAGCACCAGGCCCTCTTGGACTGTGTGCTCACCCTCTCACGTCCACGAGGGACGCTTCCACATGGGATCCTGACCGTGAGGCTGGCAGGTTGAGGGGGCACTGTGGCCCGTACTCCCAAGACGAGGATGAGGGGCCCAAAGCAGCCAAACCCTAGACTGCCAGGGGAGGAAACGAGGAGCCAGAGCCCAGGACCTTGGATGGCACAATGACATTTTCATCTCTAAAAGTTCTAGAAGGTTCTGTGGACTGTTTTGTTCTGTCTCCACCTCTCTCTGTCCGGGATCCGGGACAGGACTGTGCTCGTTTCCAGGCTCTGACGGTACTCACTACACTTGTGTCTATCAAACCCACCCCAGACCCCGAGCCCAGCCCAGGTCTGCGGGGCCGGGCCGGGCCAGGACCGAGGTGTCGGCTCTGCTAACTGAATGTGGCCAAGGGAGCCAGGGTGGGCAGGGGGGTCTCCTTAGGAGGCGTCACAAGAAAGGAATGAGGTCACATGCCAGGTCCCTCTTTCCTGGGTGACCTCCCCTTTCGGCCTGTTTCCTCATCAGGAAATCATGCAGGCAGCCCCCACTTGTCCCCCACCTGCCGGGGCTGCTGGAGAAACGGAGTGAACCCCCCCCCCCACACTGGGGCATCGCAGGGCCCAGGGATCCCCACGGCGCTGCGGGCTAGGGAGGGAGAGGCGACGGGCAGGGCGCGAGGTGAGGAGGGGGGAGCTCTGGAGGGAAGCAGCGGGAGGGGCCGTGGACAGAGGTGGGGGACGTCTGGGGGACAGTGAAGTGGGGAACGTCTGGGGGACAGTGAGGTGGGGGACGTCTGGGGGTGGGCACGGGGGGGCGGCAGGGGAGGGCGGCCTGAGCAGCACCTGGGCCCCAGGCTGGACACGGGACATCAGAGCCTCAGGGTCAGTGTTGGAATCATCCAGAAACACTCCTGAGAGAAGGGGTGAGGCTCAAACATTTAATATCGTCGAGCACCTTTGTGAGGCGAAGGTGAAGTGCTTCTTCAGAAGTGATAAATGGTAAAAAAATGAGTGTTTAGAGAACAGTGGGCCCCTGGCGGGGGCTCTTTGGTGGGCGGTGGGTGCGCCTGGGGTCCGTCAGAGCCCCCCCAGGTCGTCAGTGAGGAAGGCCAGCAGGAAGCGGCTGACGTGTCTGTCCACGATGACCGGGGAGAAGCCCAGGACGCGCCGGGCTCCCGGCAGCACCTTGGGGCCTGCAGGACGAGCGGTCTCAGGACCTGCGCCGAGCTGCTTCCTCTCGGCCTCACGGTCGCCGGCCCCACACCTGAGGGCCAGGGGTCCCCCCACCACGCGGGCCTGCCCAGCACTGGCTCCCACGGCCTCCACAAGCTCAGCACGGCAGGAAAGGGACAGCAAGACCACCATGCTGGGCCGCAAGGAGGGGCCTTGGACGGGGTCTCCCGTCCAGTGGGGTGACCCTAGACTGCGGGGGTGCCCTGCTCCAGGCCTCATGCAGGGCAGGGTCTTCTAACCCCAGAGCCCCAGCTGTGCCCCTCCTCCTGTGAGGGGCTGTCACGCTCTGACCCCTGGGGGCGGCAGCCACTGGGGGCTGGGCCTGATCGCTCCGGCCCCTCACCCTCTACTTCTCCCGTGTCCTGCAAGGGGGGCCCCGCCACCATCCTACTGTGCAGGTGAGGTACAGAGAGACCAGGGGACCTGGTGCCTTCCTGCAGGGCCCTATGGGCAGCGAGCCCCGACGTGCGGGGGGCTGGGGGCTGGGGGCAGGGCCGGGCAGGCCCGGGCTGAGTCCCCCTCCCCCCAGGGTCTCGAAAGGACTAGTGTGTGGCCTGCAGCGCACCCACCTGAAGGGCAGCAGTAGACGAGGAGCGCCAGCCCTGCAGCCAGGCCGAGGCAGGCCAGGAAGGCCACAGGTCCTGGGGAGACACGCGCATGAGCGGCTGCCCGAGCTGTAGTGGGGAGGGTCAGCCCAGCGGGGACTCCCCCAGCGAGCACCCCGGGGGGTCTGTCCAGCAGGAAGCCAGGAACAGAGCCCGACTTGGAGTGGAGAAGCCCCGGCGACGGAGACGGAGCCCTGGGTGGGGGGATGGGGGTGGAGGACGTGGGAGGCGGTTACCCCTGTCACTGAGCTCGCGGCTCGCAGCGCCCGAGTCTAGCTCTGTGCAATCTGAGTCGTCTGGAAACAAAATCACAGAGCGCGGTTAGTCGGCGGCCAGAGAGGAAAGGGGGCGCCTGCCTGCAGGAACCAAGGGCTGCGGAGACCCCCCAGGACCACCCGGGCTCCCAGGCTGGGCTGGACCAGGCTGTGTGGCACTGAGCCCTCCACAGGGCTGCAGCGGAGGAGTCAGCGCCAGCATCGGGGAGGGGACCTGTGACCAGACTTGCAGACCTGCAGTTTCGGGTCTTCGCCTTTTGTCTACTTCCTGGGACCTTGAGGGCCAGGGGGTGGGGGACCATCGATCCCTGGCAGCCACTTGGCACCAAAGGCATCGCCTACACCCGCCTGTCCACAGTCTGAAAATGTCCACGCGAGGGCAGGGGCCCCTCTCCCTAGACCTCCCCAGGGCCCCCCAAACAGCCACCTGCTGCTCAGCCCAGAGGGCACCTGGGGCCCGGAAGGGGCCTGACTCCCAGCAGGGCTGTGGGGCCCTGACGGCTGGCGTGAGAGGACCACCCCGTGCCAGAGCTCAGGGCCCAGTCCTGCCGGCCTGTCCTCGGTGTCAGAGACACCGGCCTTGGGTCTGGCTGAGTGGCCTGGGGTCAGCCACCCTGTCCCTTGTCCCTTGGGGTCTCCGGCCTCTCGTCTGAGGATTGAGGGTCAGCAGCCACTCCTCCTGGGGACCGGGGCACAGAGACCTCAGGACTGAGCCGCCACCCTCTCTGCGCCTCCCCCTCCCCATCCCAGCAGCTCAGAGGATCCTGCAGGGCTCATGTGCCTCCTGGGCCCAAGGGCAGGACCCACTAAACCAAACGCACATGCCCTGGACCAGCCATCCATGCCTGAGACTGCCCTATAGACACACCCACGCTGGGCGAGGTGTGGACACAACCTCAGCACTGGCCATGGGGTCAGTTCACTCAGGGCTGGCACAACCCACAGCCTGAGCCGTGAGGACCAGAAGTGCAAGGAAGCCCAAGTGTGCACTAGCCACAGAGGGAAGGGGCAGAGCCACATGGACGTGATGTGCCTTCTGTGTAAAGACTGGCACAAGAGACAGAGAGCCAGGGGGAGAGGGAGAGACAGGGACAGAGAGACATAGAGAGAGACAGGGAGAGAGAGAGAGACAGAGAGAGACAGGGACAGAAAGAGACAGGGAGAGACAGGGAGAGAGAGAGACAGGGGGAGAGAGAGACAGGGACAGAGAGAGACAGGGAGAGAGAGAGAGACAGAGAGAGAGAGGGACAGAGAGAGACAGGGAGAAAGACAGAGACAGAGACAGACAGGGAGAGACAGGGAGAGAGAGAGACAGAGAGAGACAGGGGGAGAGAGAGACAGAGAGAGACAGGGACAGAGAGAGACAGGGAGAGACAGGGAGAGAGAGAGACAGGGACAGAGAGAG